GGGTTGTAGTGCTAAGAAATCTGAAAAGTCAAGCCTAAAGCACTCAAAATTAGTGATGTGCTTGATCTTATTCTTTTTGTGCCTAAATTCTGCAAATAGTGTCAATAATAGCACTACCCTACTGCACAGGGATGTTGTGAAGAAAAAGGAATTTGCAAAGCACTTGGATACTCTAGTGGTGAGTGCCGTAGAAAAGCCCAGGAGGATATGAATAATTCTGTCTTCAGAACAGGGTTTGAATAGTGTGCAGTAACTACGGCCTGTCGCCACAGATTAAGTAATGAGGATAAGACATAATATTGGAAAGCTGCTCATTAATTGAGCATAGTCTGTCCTGTGCAGTGAGGGGGTAGGAATCCTGTGGAAGAAATAATATGTGGTTGTGTAAAGCAAAAACTGTCTAGCAATGCATATGCATAAGGAGGGGCAGGGGACTAAGATGGTCCAAAACCATTTAAATCCTGGCATTTTCCAACTCTTTAGCACTTTGCAAACTTAAACATTCTTTTAACTTAGTTTTGTGTGCACAGTACATAATGTTACAGTAGATAATCAGATGATAGATTAAAAAATGTTGTATAAATTCTTTATTTGGTAAATTTATTGGAAGAACCAAGACATTATGGCCCCACTGAATAGTCAAGCATATGTAGAGAAGTCCAGATAAGCTCATAAAAATCTGTCCGAAGTAGGCGTAATTGCAATAGAGTAAAACTTGAAAGAGTATTTCACTGTTTGTTTCCAGTTTGCAACACGGTCAGCCAGTGTGAGTGAAGCTGTGAATTGCAAAGGCCAAATGAAAAATAATTAAAATAATGAAGAGTGCTGGCCTCACAGTTGGTAAACAAATAAAAATCTAGCTCTCCAGTCCAACCACACAATGTGCAGTTGATATGCCAGCCCCTTAAACCTTTGTACTTTGCATTAAAATGTGGAGATGGAAAGTTGAACCTGCTTGTTGGGGAAAATGCAGGCATTTGAAGCTTACTGAGAGTATTTGAAATGCACATGTAGCTTTTATCAGCAGCTCTTGTTTGTCCTGCTTGACAAGTAAGCTGTTTTCTTTTATCTGTGAAAGCTGAAGAGTATGACAGTGGGTTAATATGGGTTATGAGAAGCATCTGACACCTTACAGTACAAAGGTATAACAAAGGCCTTAGATAAGTTAGTAGATAAATGCTAACTGAAGAAAAACAAGACAAAATTGGATTTAAAATGTGTGGTTTAAAAGAAAACGTTCCTACATTTCTGAAATAAATTAAAATGGAAGTGTCTACATGTGCAAATGCTGTTGGATGGGTTTACTCTAGAGTCATTGACTCTGGAGTAAATCCGCCCTGGGCACGCATCTACATGTGTGCCCATTTGGGGGTAGATTTGTTGCTCCAGCCCCCTCTGGCCCTGCACCAGCCACCTGTAGCAGCCACAGGGGTCTCTACACTCCCCCCTGGGTGCTAGCTCAGGGGCTGGCAGGGAGCACGGGGCCAAGAGACAGCTGTCTTATGGCAGAGACTGGGCGATTACTCCCTGTTCCTGGGAGTTGCCTGCTGCTGGGGCAGGCTCTAGTGGCAGGGGGCTTGGAAAGAGCGCCTGGTCAGCAGTCTACACGAGCCTTGCTGCGCAGTAATTACATGGCAGTTAATTTACTACTTGCATTTGCAGATAGCAAATTTGCTGCTGAGTAGAGCAGATTATTGTGCAGTAAGGGTCTGCATGTGTAATTTGCTCTACTGCTCAGTAAAGTGTCTCGTGCCCAGTGTGAATATATTTGGCAGGAATTATAGCCTGACTGGTTTTAAGAAACTTGCTTTTGTATTTTGTTTAACATCATGTATATTTTTAATATTTCATTTTTTACTTTAAAATTAAACAAAACCCTTTTGGTGAATTTTAAATAACTGCATGTTTCCTTAACAATAATTGTAAGAAAAGTTGAACTAGACTTCCATATAATTCAGAACTTTTCCTGAAACAAGTCCATGAGACAGCAAGACAGGATGGCCGAATATTTGTGTCTTGAGAAGCATATCGTGGCTCTAGTACTATACAGGTACTAGTTTACTAGTGTTTGTTTATTTCTAAATATGGGTTTTAGGATTTTTATTATAACCCAGGGTGATTTGACTGCAAAAAAAGGGGGGACTACCCACACTAAGTTATTTATACTTCTTTCTTAAATACAGCTGTGTTTTCAGGTTTTTAAGGAAGAAGCGTTTATGTGCACATACAGTTTCACTCAACATCGTAAGAATGACTAAAAATGTGGCTAGTGGGAATGAAGAATTCCCCTGCCTTCATTTTGCTTTAAGACTCATGTATGGAAAATGAACCACGGATCTTAAACTACTGTCCCTTTTAGTCAATGATGTGTGCGCATTATATAATTTATGTGTGACCTATAAAGTATAATATATAGGGAAAGCAGGAAGAAAATATTTTAGAACAATGGTTTTCAAATTTCTTAAACTCATGGAATTCCTATCCTTGTCCTAAATACTGACGGAGGGCCATGCGACCCGGCCTGGCAGTGGCGACACACTACCTCCCATCCCTCTCTGCTGCTTCCCCGACCTCTTTGTGCAACCCCTGATGACCATCGCAGAACCCCAGGGTTCCTCAGCCTGGTTTGAAACCACTGCTTTAGAGCATTACAAAGCTTATCAGTCATACTGCTGCTGTTACTCTAATAAACCTTTCAGCAACCATTGCAGTGCTGGTCCACCAAGAACTGCCATTTAGCTGATAGCTGGTACAAAATAGCATTTCCAGAACCCAAGATCTATGCAAAGTATAAGGCAGTACCTCTGATTCTGGGGTGTGCTAGCTGGTGGTAATTGTTCACTTTCAAATGACTACAACTGAATTAAATTTACATGTTGGAGAGACTGGGAAAGGAGTATAGCAAGTGAGGGTATATTGCTATATTGCAGTGTAATATAGACACATCCAAGTGAGCTTTTAAACTAGTTAGCTCTGCTACCAATAGCAGTCTAGCCATAGCAACATGGGACTCAGTGCAAGCTGCAAGACCCCATGTCTAAAGTCTTTAGGAAGGAAAGTTTGCTGTTTATTCAGAGGCATAAAGCTTAGCAGCAGCGATGATATTCTTGTTTGAGGTTCAGAGATGATGCATCTCCCTTTCAGTACAACTTATAGTCTTAGTCATTCTTAGTAATGTGTACTCTTCTTAGTAATGTGTACTATTTTACATTATTTAAGAGTGATCATACATGACTGCCATTGACATTCTTTTTCCCCCAAACTCTTTACAGCCATCCCTTCCTGTCCTATATACACTTTCCAGCCAAGCTACACATGAAGCAGTTCATCTCCTTTGTAGGATGTTGGTCTTTGATCCAGTAAGTATTTTTATTCTGCCTTTTAAATACAGAATTGTTTTAAATGTAGCAGTTCTTTTAAATGGGTTAAAGATTATGGATTAAGGGGTCTTTTGAAACTTTTTTCTATGCCACCATTTTTTATGGCCCTCTGTTCTGAAAAGGAGAGAAGAATGATCCTATGTCAGGCAAACACTAAATAATTAAAATTGCTCTCCTCCTCTCCTGCCCCCCTCAACTCCTCCCCAAAATAGTCTTCTCAATTTTTAAAGACGGTGTTTTTTTGAAAGCAAGAAACTGAGGCACCCAGGATTATATGTGAATTGTACTATTTTTGTCTGATAGCTTTTGATAGTAGAGCATCAGATTCTTCAATTCATTTCTAGTTGCTGCTGTAAATGAACTGTGTAACGTGAGATTTCCTTTTATATGTACACACTATCAAATGAGGGATTATTTCAGCATGCACCTGTTTTTCAAATTGGGATTAAATCCTTTGCTGCTGTGGACCTCGGTTTTTAGAGTTACTCCGCAAGTTTTTTTTACTCTGTAAAGCAAGTCAGAAAGATTTTCTTCCTTTCAGCAAAAAATAGCATAAAGGTTGTTGATGAACCAGTACTAAAACAGAAGAGGCAGCATAGTTAGAAGAGTGACCTGCTAGCTGGGCCTCTGCAGTTGTGTTTCTAGCTTTGCTGGTGATTTTGCTCTGGGATTTGCTACTGTTGTGACTTTACTCATCCCTAATGTGAGGATTTAATTATACTTTGCATTTATCACAGCAGCTTTCAACAAAAGGTTGCAAAACATTTTACAGAAGTAGGTGATGATGTTTGCCATTGATTTTATAGGAAGGAGGGATCTGAGACTTGCTTTGTCAGACAAAAATCAGTCAAAATGAGTTGGGAATTGATTGTAGATTTTCTGACTCAAATCACTGCTGTAACCTCTAGAAAACACTAGCTACTTTGCTATACTTCCTTCACCAAAAACTTTGTAAAACTTAAAAGTGGAAGTTGCTATTTAGGAACTCTCCTAGCCTTAAGTCCAGTTCATTTCAGTGAGATTTAAGATTACATTTAACTTGAGGTATGTACCCAAGTGATTTTTCTGGATAAGGTTTGAACTTTAAACATGTATTCAAATGTTTTGCTGTATCAGTACAAAGTATTAGCTTTGGGCAGTATCTCTAGTGGTAATATTTTGATTATTGTACCACTCATTATACAAAGTTTAGATATAAAAAGTAATTGCAGTGAAACCTGTTTCAGGAGAAGTTGTTGCAGCATTATTTTCATGTTGGATTCTATGTAGAAAGGTGATTGTTTCATTTTTGTTTGTGTTTTTTACGTTGCTTTTTGTTTTTAAGTAAGATGCTCCCCCTAGTGGCATAATTAGACAAAAGTATAAACCATTTTCTTTTAAGGCATTATGGGATTTAGGCAGCATTAGAAGAAAAATTATGGGAGGGCATTTCTAGATATGAACAGAAAGTAAATGTTTTGAGTATGTTTTAAAAACACACTAACTCTGCTTCTTCATTTTATATTTCAGTCCAAAAGAATATCTGCTAAGGATGCCTTAGCTCACCCGTATCTTGATGAGGGGCGATTGCGATATCACACATGTATGTGTAAATGTTGTTTTTCCACCTCTACTGGAAGAGTTTATACCAGTGACTTTGAACCCATCACTAATCCCAAATTTGATGACACTTTTGAAAAGAACCTCAGTTCTGTTCGGCAGGTGAAAGGTGGGTATCGTGCACTCTTCACATTTGGATGTGTATCTTTCTGCTCCAACTTGGAGAGCAGATAGTTGGAATCAAGGAATGCTGCTGTATGCAGTGAAGCAGAAGCCTTTATTCTTTAGAGGTGCCAGTTCCTGTTCACTAGAAGTGCCCTTATCAGATTAGTCTTTCTTACTGTTCTGATGGACATAATGCCACCCAATTGTTGGTGTGCCTGAGTCTCTTGATTTTTGTTCTCATTAATATTCTTCTCTGAAGCCAACATTCCCCATTGGAGACCCATGCAGGGGAAAGACTGTATATTAGCTGGGAAGTCTGTATGAAAACTCCACTGCTAGCATAAGGGAAAGATTGTGCGTCTTCGTGACTATGCTTTGGAGAGCTGACATGGTCAAAAAGTAGTTAGTAGAAAGAGGATTCTTTTGTGGTCCTCCCGCTTAATTCTGTCCGATTTTATTCTATCATGGTCTGTTCATATTGATTTGTCCACGTCAAATGCCTTTAAAGCAGCTGCTGTCATAAGCTCTGTTGCTGGTGCCACTCCATGGATCTGGCAGTGGTACAAAGGACACGCGCTGGGTTTTGACATGCCATGATGAGGAAAATCAATTCTGATGCCTGAAAGAAGGAACTATTGGTGCAGAAGGTTACTAAGTGCTAGTAGTAGCTCTGCAGCACTAGAGACTTGAGGTTGGATCCCATCATAACGAACAAACCGAAAATAGACTTTGTTTCTTTGAAATTGGATCTGGGTACTACATCGTTGCCTTGGGACATAGAACCAAGACAGAAAAGGATAGGAATATGGGGAGGGATTTAGTTTTGCTAGTGATATTATCAGTACATTTTTAAGACAACGTATAGGTAGAATAAAATACAAATTCTGAGATAGAAGGAATGTTATTTTTTCCCTTGACTTCCTGAATAGCAAATGATATAGAAGCAATCCAGGAAAAAAAAGAGAATCCCTCTTTTTAAAAAAGGAGCTGAACAGCTGTCATCACATCTTGAGTTATCTTCTCCATTGGATACACAGTTCCAAAATTCTCCAGGTTTTTTGCTTTTGCATGTTCACAGAGTTTTTTTTTTTTTTAATCCAGTCATTTTCCATTTCTCCCATTCTTTGCCAGCACTTCTCAGTGGTGTACATCCTTCTGCTTTATTTACTGTCATTAACTGCACAGCCAAAAATGAAGCTAGAGGGAACTTTTTGCACTCATTGAAAATGAATATATTCCTGTTTTTGGACAGCAGGTATAGATAGCTCTTGTTAGATGAGAAACCTGGAATGTAAAATAGGCAAAAATCAAGTAACTTTTTAACTTAGACTTTTTAAAGCGTCTTGTGACAGACATAGTAGCTCACTTTGTCTATTTTTAATTTCATTTAATTAAATTACATTTTAATGCTCAGACACTGGAAGGTCTATTCCTGATAGGATACATTGTCTGGGTTGGTTTCAAAAACTGATTTTTCCATTAAAGATTTTTCTTAACCGTAATCAGCCTTTTGCCCAGGTCAGTGCTAAAAGAAAGCAGCAGAAGCTGTAGGTCTCTAGAAATAAGGCGCTGTGTACTGCTTCTAGTGAAATAATGACAGCCTGGTCAAGAATAAAAGGAATGCCACAATGGGCTCTGCGTTTTGCTACGACCACCTAACACCCCCGCAAAAATATTCTTTATTCCTAACGTGTATATCTGTTGTGGCCTGCTGCTACAGACTTTTGCTTACTGGCACACTAGCTCCAAACTGGGCCTTCTGTTCCTATTTTAGACTCTTTACTGTACCTTGAAAGGCCTCCGCATAAGATGATGCATCTCTAGTCACAAACTGCTGCAGATATGCAATGTAGGGAAAGATACCTACTCCAGAATCAATCATAATGCTGTCAGCAGCATCTGGCAAACAACTGTTTGCTTTTTTTCTTAAAGTAGCTACACATTTTATTTCATTTCTGTACAACTGTAGCCATGTCACACACGTATATATAGTGCATACACACCAACTCCCATTATGGCCTGTAATAGGAAATATCAAAACCTTCTATTCCAAGCCATTATGCCAAGGGAGGGGGAGAGAGCCCCAACATGCTGCTAGATTGAATGGTCCAGTTACATCTAGGAATCAGTCATTCCTGTACGCATTCACATCAAAGACAGTGTGTCACCATTACTCTCTAGTGGTACCGCTTCCCCATTAGGTACTGAAGAAAACAGGCTCTTGACAGTGCTTAGCAAGTTCTCCTGAAACCTTCCATTACGGATGACTGCCAACAGGATAGGTTCCGGCACATTGCCCTTTTCTTAAGGTCCACGTTAGTAAGTGGAGCCTGTTCTTTTTTCATCCGTGCATGTCCCTATTTTTTCCTTCGCATTAAGGTGATGCACTGGCATGCAGCCAATATGTGGTTTGTCAAGAATTTTTCACTTCGCCAGATGGAAGGGTGGAGTTCATGAATTCAGGAGCTGCCATTCCTGTTCATTGATGCACCAAACTGGGCTTATTAGCCAGTCTGGTTTTGCCTTCATCTTTTATATACCACTAATAAATAATGGGTATTAGGCTTGTGTTCTTCAGGCCTGCAACTCCAATTAATGTTGAGAGTCTTCAAAACATGAAACCCTTCCTTCTTTAGAGTTATTTCCATAGTCTGCTTTCATCAATTAGTGTTCCAGTAGGGATTAGTACTGTATTTTACTTGTTTTATTTCAGTGTTTAAGTGGAAGTTCCCTGGGCATTGGTGGTAGTTAGCAGTTTGCATCAGAATGGTGGTGAAAAAATTGAGTGCATTATTTTTCCCCCCTTTCTGTGCCCCCGTTAGTTTTATTGCATGTATTTTCACCGAAGAAAACCACATTTGACTTCAGTTCTGTATTGTTTCTTGGTTTGAAACAAAAGTGCTAATCTAACGATAGGAATTTTCTCCTGTACAGAAATTATTCATCAGTTCATTTTGGAACAGCAGAAAGGAAACAGAGTACCTCTCTGCATCAACCCTCAGTCTGCTGCTTTTAAGAGCTTTATTAGGTAACTGTATGTAATCACATCTGATTAATTCACACTTCTTAGTTGTACAGCATTCATTATACATCTGAAATGTTTTTTGATTTTGAATTGATGGGAGTGGGGAAACTGTAGAGCTGACTTCCACAAAGAAGTTTAAATATATTTATTGTTAAACTTTACAAGTAGTTTTACTTAGGCGAAGCTGAAATTAAGTAAATTGTATAGAAAGTTCAACTAACATCTTTGGGCAAAAAGCTAAAGGTGGAAGAATTGTCATGTAAAAATGAAGGGTGAGAGATTTTAAATGTTGAGAGATTCTAATGTTGTAGTTGCATTGCAAAAGAATAAATAAAGTGATAAATGGGAGGACATAAAGAAGATGAAAAAGTAAGGATGACAAATATACTTAATAAAATAGCATTGTTTTTAGTGGCATATGCTTGTTTACCAACCTAGCCTTTTTTTTGTTTGGTTTTGCTTGTTACCTGTAGCAAATGAGCACTGATTTTCTGTATTTGTTGTATTCTAGTTCCACTGTTGCTCAGCCATCTGAGATGCCACCATCTCCACTGGTTTGGGAGTAAAAGTGGAAGATAATATACTACTGAAGATGTAATGTAGCTTTCCACTGGAGTCTGGGATTTGCAATTCTGGAGGTTAATCATGCTTGTACTGTAATTTTACTAATGAAGTTTTAAATTAACAACCACTACTTGTATGATATGAATAATATTTAGCAATGTACTAGACTTTTAATCTTGTAAAGTGGTTGTGCTTTTAGAAGAAAATATTTTACCCAGAGTTGCACATGTTTTATGAATTCTTGTGCAGCTGTGATGGCTCAGCTCAGAACAAACAGAATTTAACCAAATTTGGGGAGGTTATTTTTTGTTCTGTGTTTTTGGTTTTTTTTGGTTTTTTAAATTGAGGTAAGACTGTACAAAAAGACAGACAGACGTACATTTTGATATTGAGCCATTCCTCAAGATTTGGGATTTTCTAAAATTTAAGGAATACAGAGAACTTGACTGCGACCAATCATGAAGTCTCATCAGACGACAGTGACCAGACTATGAATGGGCACGTCATCTGATGATCAAATCCTATAAATAGCTTCTCACTAGAGCTGTGATGGTGATGTGTGCTGTTCTAAAATCAAATGTTGTGAGTAGAGAGAATGAGTTTGTGACTAGGAGAGACTAAACTTCTGTTTCCTTACCCAGTATAAATATATATATATTTAATCTATTTTTATTAGAAGTTTTTCTGCTCTTTCTTACATAACCCCCCCCAAGCATGCATCTTCTATGTGTGTAAATAATTCCATTTATGGGCTAATTTCAAAGAACCATGACATCATTGCTGTATAGAGAGAAACTAGCTTGCACATTTTAGGTCTGTGAAATTTTGTGAGAAATTTTTCCTGCACTGGACAGTTGAGAGAAGAAAAAAAAAAAAAAAGAAAAAGGAAAAAAAAAAAGCACATAGGGAATTATGTTAATTGTGTTTGTGTCTTTAGGCAAAGCTGTGGAAGTCTTGAAATGTCACAGTAGTAAATAACTTTTATTACTTTTTGGCTAATTCTTTTTCTGTTGGAACACTGAATTCTGTGCATATGTATATATGAACACAAATTGAAGGCCTCTACCTCCTGGAGTATACAACTTGGTTTGTTTACCTCCACATGATTATTTTTTTTTTTAAGTTCAGTGTGGAGACTTGAAACTTGAATGTCCCTTCCAACTTTTATATTTAAAACAAGACAAGAAAATTGAAGACTGTTTTTCACCTGTACAAAGAAATACTAAAGGGTGGTCTTAAATTTTGAGCATAGGTCTGGGGAGAAACCTTGGTGTTTGTTATGGACAATTAACTGTTAAAGTTATTGTAAGTTATCTGTATTTAGCAGAGTATTTTCAACAAGAGTGATCTGAGCTGAAATTGGAGACTATTAGTAAGTTATGTTTGGAAGTTTTAACTTCAATGAAGTAATTATTTGCTGTGAAAGAGACAAACGTTGAATTACTAAACAAAGATGGTGCAATATCTTTGTTTTTTATGAGGCTCCTGTGAATAAAAACAACTGAAGCATTTCACTTCACTTGAATGAGAAACGTGTTTAATTAAGAGCCCAAGAAGACACTGGTATGAAAGGTAAAATCTCAGAGGTTGGTCAGTTAATGTGGCACACTTGCTGGTCACTTTGTAAAATGTAGATTTGAAGTACAGTGGTGAAAACATTAAATGTGACATTTGAAAAAGAAATGGTGTTATCCTTTCATTTCCTGTGTTGGTACTGGTGGTGGTGGTTAGCTTTTTAGTGATTCTAAAATTGACTTAATACTGGCCAAAATAATTCAAGCAAGAAGACTTCAAAGCATCTTGGTTTGGGAGCCTCCTTGTTTTCTTTTTTTTGTGAAGCAGCCTTCAGTTGCTCTGAATTTCTGAACCTTATGGGAGTGTTTTGATCGTGGATGAAATTAAGAACTACAGGTTTTAACCCAAGACAAACAAGAAATTGATTTATGCTTAAATGTATTGGAAGGATTAAAGCTATGCTTTCAAGGATGACTGGCCCCGTGTCTTTTTTTTTCCCGTGGTTTGCAAAGTCCACACAGTTCTTTCGTTCAGGGAAAGGCACTAATATGTCTTCTACGCAGCTAGTACAAAAGGAGCCCAAATACTCCACAAAGTTGGAACACCAGATCGAATGAAAAGCATTTAATGTATTTCATGGACTTGAACCTTTTAAAGAAAGCAAATAATGCACAAACTTGGTACATCTGCGTCTCACAAGAAATACTTAGCCCTGTGGATGGAGAAGAATGGTCTGGTGGCTTGAGCACAAGATTGGAAGCTGGGAGCTCTTGGGTTTCTGTTTGCCCGCTCTGACATGATCTTCCTTGGTGACTCTGGGTAATGTGCATCTCTGCCTTTGTTTGTGGTATTATGATGAACTGAATCTCAAGACTTAGCATTGTTTTATGTATGGAAATTACTAAATTGATTTTGTTTAGTTGAATACTACTTTTGTTTACTCACCTTCAGTTCTACTTCAGGTTTTTTTAGTACAGCTATAAAAACAATTGTTTCTATCTCTGCATTGTCGCTTCTCTTCTGGAGAAACAACTTTGTAAAGACCTTGCTGCTTAATGTGATGAACAATAATGTCCCGTTCTTGGATCAGGTAATTGCTAGAGCTTAATGGACAGATCTCATCAATAAACATGCAAGGAATAAAATAAGTTTGACCAGCTGCATTTCAAGGTGCCTTGGCCCAGATATAGGGCAGAATACCACAAGGAATGAGTGCACTTTCACAAAAGAGAAGTTTAAAAATATATGAAGGCAAGCATTCCCTGTTGCCTCAACTTCACTTTTCATGGAAATAAATGACAGCAAAAATGAGAGCATTAAATGCTGTCTCTGGGCAAGGAATTCTTGATCTGGAAACATTTCTATTTTGACCTTGCTCTGAGAGCTAATTGAAAATGTGGGGTCAGATTGGAATCCCTCTTTGTATCCAGGAAGGGTAAAATATGACTTCCTGTTGGTATCATTATAATTGGGATTAAATAGTATTTTTCAGTACTGGACCCGAATGTCTGATTTTAGCATATGTTCTTCTTTTATGACGTGTGCTCTGATAAGGGGCACAATTAATGAGTGCAGAAAACTAACTGGAGCACTTTCATAATTGTCACAAAGATGACAAACTGATAAATGTATTGCAGGAATGATGTGGAGGTCAGGAATTCAGAAAGCAAGTGCAGGAAGAGATGCAGGAAGAGATGCAAGAATAGATGCAAGTTTCAAAAGCGCAAAGATTATATGCTATGTAGATACTCTGGATGTGGCAGATAACAGTACAAGGCTCTTGGCAGATAAGAGCACAAGGACAGGAGATCACCCACAAAAGTTGATTATTAGCATTCACTTCCTGATGTATGCTGGGATATCTCGACTGGCTGTGTACCCGCTGACTTTGAGGAGAGAGCTGTTTTCTTTCAGTCGGTTTTTGAGCAGCCTATCTGCCAAACTACAGTTTAAAAAAAAAAATGCCTGAATTTTTTAAACTTGTTTCTCAACTATATCCTTTTTTTGTCAGCGAGTAATAGAGATCCAAGAATCTGTCTGGCAGGCAACCGTTCTGTATAACTTACTATGTTGTGATTTAGTAAGTACTTCTTCCTGTACTAGTCATCTCATATTTTCTCTTTTTATCTGAGAAGCTGTCAGTTTTCTGGATCACAAAAATCTCTGTGAATTTTAGGCTGAATGCTTTGAATTTCTTGGGTTTCTTGCAGTCAGCGTTTTCCTAAGCAAAAGCAGTTTTCCTAAGATTGAGAATGAGATTCTTCATTCTCAACGCCTTGCTATTTTACTGATTGTGAACTAACAGTAAGCTTGTGGTATAATGTATTCCTGTGCTTTGGTTTCACACTTTAATCATTCATAAAGATTTTGAACTCAGGTATGCCTTTTCTGAGGAGCAGTTACCTTAAAATAGCTTCAGACACTTAAAACTGGTACTTATTCCTGTATCTATTATTTTGTAAAACACTTTAACCAAAATATTTTTGCATATATATTAACCAAAAAGTGTGGACTTTATCTTATTTACTTAAAAAGAGGAAGAA